TGTCTTTTTAGGGACTCCACACTGGCGTAGGTAACTTTCACCAGAATGCAGAAGGCCTCGTTTGCTCTGAAGACCCTTTGATGGAAACAGCCAGACCTTACCCCACACCTGCTTCACATCCAAGACGAGCAGTGTTCTCTGGATTAGGACACTTTTCTTCTGTACATTTAGCAAACTTCCACCAGGGGGGAAGGTTGCTATTTCTGCTTTGTGTGAAGCATTTTGTACCATCTGGGCTGGCTGGATATCAACAAAGATAGTAAAGAAACATTTATCAAGAAAAATCAAAGTCAGTCTCGCCAAGTGTGGTCTAGAGAGATTTGCTGCCTCAATACGTTGTGGCTGGGAAACAGGACTCTACTTTGAAAAGCTTCAGGAGGGACAGGCCTCTGGCTATTAGCCTGCAGCTACTGCCAACGGCTCGTGATACAGTGACTTTAGTAGCTAGAGCTCTTGAGATGTGAATGCCACAGTCCCAGAATCAATTCCACTCCAGTCTTTTCCACAGAGATTTTGACCTCTTCAGTAGAGGTTAGACCCAAAAGGATACAAGGGGAAGAAAGGATCTCTAAGATCTGGGGGAGAGATGGAGCCATATCACTCTCACAGATGTTGGGTTCAGCAGAGTAGATGCCCAAGGAGAGGCCATTCTTTTTTCTTTTCTTTTCTTTTTTTAATTTTTTAATGTTTTATTTATTTCTGAGAAAGAGAGAGGCAGCTGAGCAGGGGAGAGTCAGAGAGAGAGGGAGATACAGAATCCGAAGCAGGCTCCAGGCTCTAAGCGAGCTGTCAGCACAGAGCCCGGCGCGGGGCTCAAACCCACAAACTGTGAGATCATGTCCTGAGCCGAAGTTGGACGCTTAACCGACTGAGCCACCCAGGCACCCCTGAGAGGTCGTTCTTAAACCATTAACTGTGAGACTGGCTCAGGGATACAGCAAACACTTGTTCTGTAAAGAACACTCTTAAAGAGCTGTGAAGTTGTAAACTTACAATAGAAGAATGTTCTGGTGATGGTCCTTTGGTGTCAGTTCATATAACAGAGAGCAAAGGACAGGCGTGTCAGCCTTGGAAGAGAGGAGAGAAGAGAAGTGAGCTGTTTGCACTTGCATATGTATTGCCAATCAACCAGACAGACAAGTTTCTGGCACCTCACAGCGTCTCAGATCAGGTTTTTATGCAGCTTTCTATGTGATAGATGTGTCATTACAAGATCCCAGCCTGGAAACTGGTGCATGCTGTTTTCCCTGGAAGGCTCAATAAATGAGAGAAAGTAACAGTTGGAGATTATATTCGATGGGGAAAATGCATGAGGATCTTAAGAAAGTATATCCTCTAGAAAAGCTTGACTTCCTGTGTGCTGTATGGACCGACAGCAGCAGCAGCACTGAGAATGTGTTGGAAAAACAAACGAGCAGCTCTCACTCCAGACTCACTGAATCAGAATCCATCTGTAGGAATAGGTCCCAGGGATATGTGTCTCACAAGCCCTGTGGGTGACTCTTAGGCACACTAAGGTTTGAGGAGCACTCTGGAAAGGTTCAGGTGGAAAGGTCAGATGCATTATGCTCAAAGAAGAAAACCCAAAATGGCAGTGTTTGATATCAGTTCATCTGGAAATGGTTAAGTCTTCATGATAAAAATGAACAAACACAGGGGCACCTGAGTGGCTCAGTCGATTAAGCATCCAGTTTCGGCTCAGGTCATGATCTCATGGTTCATGGGTTCGAGCCCTGCATCGGGCTCTGTGCTGACAGCTAGCTCAGAGCCTGGAGCCTGTTTCAGATTCTGTATCTCCCTCTTTCTCTCTAACTCTCCTCTGCTCATGCTGTCTCTCTCTCTCTCAAAAATAAGTAAAACATTTAAAAAAATTTTTAAAATGGAAAAACATAATAAGACACTGAATATGAGGCCTTATAACACAAAAATAGCAGTAATATATCTGGCACTTATTGACCATTCCCTGGGTGCCACATTCTTCACTAAATGTGTATATTCTGCATCCGATTGTACTTCTACAACAACCCCATGAGGTATATATTATCTCCATTTCATTAGCCAAGAACTTGAGGTTCTAAAATGTGAAGTAGCTGCTAGGCAAGATGCAGATCCTGACATCCCGTAGCTTTGTATCCACTATGCTGTGTCACCTGGCTACTGGCTCGTTAGCAATCAGCTATACTGTGAATACATTTGGTTTTCTATATTCCTTGGGGACAGAATCGACATCTTATGTTGTCCCCACGTCCCCAATGCCTAGTAGAATTCTTAACACCTCATAGGGACCTGCTTATTGAACTTCAAAGTCAAAGTCAAAAAGGAGAAGTTCTTGCCTTGGGTACAAGGATGAACTTATTGAACTTCACTGAGTCAGAGTCAAAGAGGAAAACTCCTTTCTTTGGGTGCAAGAATGAGGTACAACCTGCATGAGGATGAGATGAAGCAAGAGTTCAGCCTGAGGATAAATGGAAGGAAAGGCCATGTGCTGGAGTGCAGAAACACATCCATGCAGAATAAGTTACTGCTTGTGTCCTAGGGCCCCTTGTCCCTCCCCCAGAAGTCCACCCAGCCCTTTTTCCATCTCATTTATTCGGTCTACACCCGTTGCTAGTGATATGCTCTTACACAAGTCAGATGTCATTATCCCCACTCCCACCAGCAATGGTCCACTGCTTGGTTGTAGGAAAATAAAGGGAAGATCTTTGAATTTAAGATCTTTGAATTTCACTGGGTTTTTTGTTTTTTTTTTAAATAAATAAAATGGAAAGAAAGAGGAGCAAGAGAGTTTTGGGTGTTTCCAAGAGAGTGATTATAATGCACTATGAACTCTAGGCTGGGGGTGAATTAACTAAAAGCAAGAGGGAATGGGGAGGAGAAAGTAGGCTCAGTAAATATTGGCTCAGGGGCATGAGTGGCTCAGCTGGTTGAGTTTCTGACTTGATTTCTGCTCAGTCCTGATCCCAGGGTTGTGGGATCAAGCCCTGCATAAGGCTCCATGCTGAGCATGGAGCTGGCTGAAGATTCTCTCTCTTCCACTGCTCTCTCTCTCTTAAAAAAAATTAAAAATAATATTGGGTCAACAGTCTGGTGGTATAAGACTTGTTGCAGTAAAGTACTAGGGTTAATGAAGTGGAAAAATAGGAAGGGGCATTGGATTGTGGGGTACACGAAACAGAGATTGAGAAAGTGGTATAATTTCTGGGATGATGAACTTCAGGGAGGAGGTAACTGTAATAGGGTAGAAGCAAAGGTGATAAGAGGTGAGGCGGTGCTTTATCCCCTACTTTCCAGTATTCTGTTTCTATTGTATTACTGCACTTATGGAACACTTAGGAAAAAATGTCAAATAATAGCTGTGGTAATGAATGTCTATCTCATTCCAGGCTTTAATGGGGTTGCATTTATCATTAACTATGGAGCTATTATTTCAGATAGCCTTTATCCTGTGAAGAAGATTTTCTGCTATCTCTAGTTAATTCTAATGACCCTGTGGTTTGCTCTTTTGACCTATACATATAATGAATATTATAATAATAGATTTTTCTAAGATTGAGCCATCTTTGCATTCTTGGTAGGAGTGGTTCTATGTTAGCCTTCTATCAGATCACTTGGTTCAGTCTGCTAATATAACACTTTGGATTTTTCTATCATAGCTCAGATGGTTGGCATTGTATCCTTAAGATCTGTACAACTCTCATTTTTCTGTCTCCTTCTCTTGCCTGCCTACATTACTGGCTTTCAGGTTGACTCCTAGCTAACTTCTTCCTGTTTCTGTAAGCTGATGCCTTACTCTACCTCATCCTTCCTATGGTTAGTTGTGTCTACACTACTGACCCTCTGCTTTCTTCTTCTTCTTCTTCTTCTTCTTCTTCTTCTTCTTCTTCTTCTTCTTCTTCTTCTTCTTCTTCTTCTCCTCCTCCTCCTCCTCCTCCTCCTCCTCCTCCTTCTTCTTCTTCTTCTTCTTCTCCTCCTCCTCCTCCTTCTCCTCCTTCTTCTCCTTCTTCTCCTTCTTCTCCTTCTCCTTCTTCTCCTTCTTCTCCTTCTTTTCCTTCTTCCCCTTTCTTCTTTAAGCTGGTCTTATAGCCTCCTTTACTGAGGGTGTTCTTCATTGAGGGTGAAGCCTACCTGTAATGCTGTAATATTTTTCCAGCCTCCTCTCTGGGCTGGCTGGGTAGTGGTTATGGGTGCTATATGGATGACATGTGCACCTTGGTTTGGAGGACAACTCTTACTTTCTCTTTTAGCTTTTGCTTTTTTGAATCCAGGTAAAATTCATGTAACATAAAATTAACCATTAACCATTGTAAAAGTTGACTTTTTAAAAGTTATTTAATTTTTTTGAGGGGGGGAGAGAGAGAGAGAGAGAGAAAGAATGAGCAGGGAAGGGGCAGAGAGAGAAAGAGAGGGAGAGAGAGAATCCCAAGGAGGGATTGCCAGGTCCTGGCAACCACTGGTCTGCTTTCTGTCTCTGTGGGTTTACCTGTTCTGGATGTTTCATATAAATGGAAACATACAAGTTGTGACCTTTTATGGCAGAGTATACAGATGTTCATAACAGCACTATTCACAAAAGCCAGAAAGTGGAAACAACCTAAACATTCAGCCAATGAATGGATAAACAAAATTTGATCTGTCTGCACAAGGGGATGGTGTTCAGCCATAAATTAAGTACTGAAACATGTTGTCACATGGATGAACCTTGAAAGCCTCATGCTTCATGAAAGAAACCAACCTTTCTTGGTGGCTTTGTGGAAAGCAAGCTTAGAGAATGTACAATTAATCTCGGAGGCACAGTGGGTAGAGCAGTGCGAAAGTCAGAAATCAGTATGGAACCAGTATGGAGCAGAGGCTACATCTTACCAGTTTATCTCACTCTGTATGCTTCTTAACTATTCATGTTAATAAGTTACACCTCCCATTAAGATGTTCTACAACCCCCACTTATTGATGCATTAAGATTTGGGGGCTATTAATTCTGAAACTGCTTTTTCTGTTTCTAGTAAGAGATGCTAAAAACCTTGTACCTATGGACCCCAATGGCTTGTCAGACCCTTACGTGAAACTGAAACTGATTCCCGACCCCAAGAGCGAGAGCAAGCAGAAGACCAAAACCATCAAGTGCTCCCTCAACCCTGAGTGGAATGAGACATTCAGATTGTAAGTCAAAATTATTGCGCCCAGCATGGGTGGTGGAGGTTGGGGAGTGCCTCTCCTAGTTCCCATTTCATTTCTCCCTTCCCTCCTTCCCTCCCTCCCTCTCCCACTCCTCTCTTCCCTTCCTCCCTCTCGATCTGCATTTTTACATTGCAAGCCAAGTGAAAATTGGAACTTATTTTTTTAATAGAGTTGAGAATGTCTGTGGTGTGGGGAGTGGGTGGGACAGAAAATAGTGTGATGTGTTGCTAGGTGAAGGCAAGTTGTGGGAGAAGCTCTGGTCTCAGTGAGCAGTGGGATATAACCCACAGGGTGTGGCCATAACCCCTCTACAGCTCAGTCTGTGGGTATACACATGCTGGGGCTGCAGCCTCCTGGAAGTTCTTTGCCAGCTTCCATGGACCACCTTCCCTGGCCAGTGCTCCGAGAACCTGGGGTCACTTTTTGATGCATTTGGGCCCACAAGTGTTACGCGAGCCAATATTGAACATATCCTGGTTATAAAAAGCACTATATTGAATGATCTAACTCCGTTGACACTTTCATCCCCACTTAACCAATGGTGCTGAAAGAGGTTAAAGAATGTGGCCAGAGTCCCCCGGCAGATGTGGGGTTGAGGGGAATTTGGCTTCTGACAGTCTGACTCCCAGGGGCTGTGGGCCCAAACCACAATTCCTAGTGGGAGCTTCATCCCCTTTCCTCTCTCAAGGCAAAACTGGGGGCCCATCTCAGCCTCAGTCAAGGATGCGCCTCAGAGCAATGGGCCCCGACCAGCACCAACGAGACTGTTTCCTCCATACACGTCCTCAGCCTCATGCTAACTCACATGTGTGCAAACTCTCACGCAATTCTATAATTGATACCTGCATTTCTTATAGCAACTGTGTCAGCAGGGTTTCCTGAACTCCATGAGCCCTGTTAAGACACAGGCAGCGGAAATAGCCACAACTGTTTCTGTCTGAGCTGGCCCGGCTCCTCTGCCCGGTTAAGCCACAGGCTGGCAAACTGGCAGAGCCTCTCCCTCCCTGGGGACCTTGTCTGGGGTTGGAAACAGAATATGTTTCTTGCAACATCTATACTCTTTAAAAATTCCTACCTTCAGGCCTTGTCCTCTTGAACATTTCATCTGCTTGCAAAATCACTGTGACCTCCGCTGACTTCTCTCTTCTGTCCCTTTGCAGCCAACTGAAAGAATCGGACAAAGACAGAAGACTGTCGGTAGAGATTTGGGATTGGGATCTGACCAGCAGGAACGACTTCATGGGATCTTTGTCGTTTGGGATTTCCGAACTGCAGAAAGCCGGTGTTGATGGCTGGTAAGGAGGATTTTGCTTTGATAGCTATCATACAACTTGGTCCCATTGAATGTGGGAACAAGTATGATTTCCTTTTTCTCCTAAAAGTGAACTACAAAAACAGAGTCACAGAGTGATGGCTGGTCGATTGGCTCTACCTCACATATATATTTTATTTGGTCCTTGTGCTTAAAAAAAAATCACTTGCTAGTATTTTCAAAATCAGGACATTTTTGCATAGAAGTCTGGACTTCTGGCTTGCCAAACCAGAAATATCTGGATGCACTGGGCCTAGAAGGGAATGGTTGCAAACAGGTGAGTTGTTAATGCCCCCTTCAGACAGGACACGGATTTTCTCTTTGCTATAGGCTTCACTATTCTGTTGTTTTCTATCTGTCTCACTTGACACAGTTCTATGTCTTGACTGGCCCCATGGGCACTATAGTGCCTCTCATGTTATACCCTCAAGATATATGCAATCTACTGTCAGATTCTGGTTCCATAAGGTGATGCTCCTTCACTGGGACTGCCTACCAAGCCTGGCCACAGAGGTGCTGGGAGGTAGCTGTCATGGTCATCTGTGACATCTCCTTTGTTCCCTTCTTGTGGCAAAAAAGTCCTTGTTCCCATATTCCCAGCAAGGAGGCTGGGTAAGCCCCCTTGACAACGGTTTCACCATCATCTGAGTAATGGAGTCGGACTACATAGTCCACCCTGGCACCATAGCTTTGGGCAAAGCAGGGATTAATGAATGCTCTTATCTCTTTAAGCGAAATGGTCTCCTTTCTGAATGGTTTAACTCAGGGCTTTCTCAGTTACAAATGCAAGAAAATAAGAATCAGATTGGAGTAGCAAGAAAGAGAATGTAGCATCTGGACTCCACACCCTTTCCATTGTTCTCCTTACAACTTCCTTGTCTGTCCATGTTTACCATGGACTTTTATTCAGATACACAAAGTCTCTACTCCATTTGGGTCACTAGAGATAGGATAGACATACCTTCATGGAGCTTAGCTTCTGGAAGGGAAGAAGAAACGATGCGAATAACTCATCATCAGTGACAACATGATGACATATGTGAAGGGGGGTGGAAGCTAAGTGTGTATAAAAGTAAGAATAGTAGCAATAAGCTGTGTTCAGGCACAGCTCACAAACAGTTAACAACATAATTTTCAAACAATAGACAATGAGCATTTGTCACAGTTTTCCTCAGCGCACAAATAGGGAAGCCAGGAAGATGAATGACTGATTCTGCAGGTTGGAGAAGCTGGTATTCGTATGCCAGGGAGACACAGCAATGATGAAATAACTGCTAAGTTAGCCATGAACCAGGACAATGAAATCACAGCCCTGGAGGGGCTCTGTCTACCGAACTGGAAGAACTTCTTTTTATAAGTATATATTTTTATGATTTTATTTTATTAAAAAAATTTTTTTAAATGTCTTTATTTTATTTTGAGAGACAGAGACAGAGAGCGAGTGGGGGAGGGGCAGAGAGAGAGGGAGACACAGAATCTGAAACAGGCTCCAGGCTCTGAGCTAGCTGTCAGCACAGAGCCCAATGCGGGGCTCGAACCCACGGACTGTTGGATCATGACCTGAGCCGAAGTTGGATACTTAACTGGCTGAGCCAGACAGGTGCCCCATTATTATCCAATAATACATTAAAAAAAAATCATTCACCACGATCAAATGGGATTTATCCCAGGGCTGCCAGCGTAGTTCAGTATTCACAAGTCCATCAGTGTGATGCATCACATCACCAAGAGGAATGATAAAAACCATATGATCATAGATGCAAAAAAGAAAGCATCTGACAGAGTAACACCTCCATTCACAATAAAAACTTGGGTAATTTTTCTTAGCATATGGATGGTCTGACTTTGCATGCTGCCATTATCACCGCCGACAGATTGCACGTTCCTTTCTCTTTAAGTCAGGCGTAAAGAGGTTAAAGAGAAAGAATGCACAATCCCCAGGGGGTTTAAGCGAGACAGGAGAGAGAATATAATAATAATAATTACAAGAACAAGAGCTACCACTTACTGGCTTGTACTGGATGCCAGGCTCTGTGCTGATCACTTTCCAGGAGACCTGGAGTCCTGTGTCGTGGAGTCACACGCTGATACCCACTAACAGCCTCTTTAGTTTCTCTAATGCATCCAGACTTTCTTACGCGGTTCTGTGACCTCCTGGTGGCGAGGAGAAGGGGACCATCCTACATGTCGTGCCTTCTGGGCTTCCCTGCCACCAAGCAGCCGATCCTACCTGGGCCCTGACCCTGGGCCCACTGAGGCAGGACGGGTCCTTCCCCGGCTTTGAGGCATCATCTCTGTCGCCTGCATGGGGGCCCAGAGTCCGTCTGGGTTCTCCCTGTTTCCCTGGCCTGCCGCTTCTGTGACGTTTGGCCTTCCACATAGGTTTCTGCCCAGGGCTCAGTGAGAAGGGGGGGCAGATAAAAAAACATTAAAAAAAAAAAAAAAAAGAAAAAGAAATTAGAGGAGGGAACTTTTGCTAAATAAAATCTCTCTGGGGACTTTTGCAAATAAAAGTCCTCTTCAGATTCGGGGCCAAGACATCTATGATGCTGCCTTGACTGTAAAGGTTCCCAGTTCTAGAAATGTGGATTCTTGTCCCCGTGTGATCTTGGGTGAGTTACATCTGGTCTCCGAGACTCAGTTTCCCCATCTGGCAGGGGCTGAGCTCCCCCGCTAGTCTTTTGCGAAGCAATTGAAGACCACGTGGCAGCAGCGGCAGCTGTGAGAGCTCCCAGATGTGGTGTGCCAGCCCCAGGCCTCTCATCTGCAGATAGACCTGCGTCTATCATCAGATCCGCTCTTTTGTTTCTAATTTTATTTGTTTCTGCTGTCTCCTTTCCTTCCCCTAGTTTTCCAGAGGTTCCTCTGTTGTTGTTGTTTTTTCTTTTTAATGTTTTATTTATTTCTAGGAGAGAGAGAGAGAGACAGCGTGAGCAGGGGAGGGTCAGGGAGAGAGGGAGTCACAGACCGAAACAGGCTCCAGGCTCTGAGCTGGCAGTCAGCACAGAGCCCGACGCGGGGCTCGAACCCACGAACCGCGAGATCATGACCTAAGCGAAAGTCGGACGCTTAACCGACTAAGCCACCCAGGTGCCCCCAGAGGTTCCTCTGTTTTGCCGTGGTTTGTTTTTCTGCAAAGAAGGAGCTCTGGGATTTACATATTGATTCTGTGTTTCGGTGTTCTTCTTTTCTGTGAGTTTGTTGGGTCGTTGCCTTTGAATTTCGGTTGAACATTGTGCGAATTTATTTTTCGTCTCTGAACTGACTCTGCTCTTCAAGAATAAAGAACAAGCATTGGAGGGAAGCAAGAGTTCCTCCAACTTGTGATATGTTGAGTTCCAGCCTTTGTTGCTTGTTCAAGGTCTGCGATTGTGTTTTTAATTTCCTTTTCAAGCGTGCTTTTTATTTAGGGATTTTGGAAACCTCTGACGTTAGCTTTTTGTTTTGTTTTTCATTAATGAGGTCAAATGACAGTACAGTGTTTTGTGGTCAGAGAATATGGCCTGTAACCTAGCCTTCCCGCCCCTCCCCTCCCCTTCCTTTCTTTCCAATTTAGCCTAGTTCAGTGTTGCTAAATGTTCACATTTCCATACAATGATTACATTTACTACTTGTAGGGCATGCATCTCAGTGTTTATTAATTCTATCTTAATATAGTATCTAGATCTCTTATGCTTTCCTATTTTTTTATTTGTTTCATCTGACCAAAATGTGTTCGAACATCTGCTTTCATCTGATGGGTTTTGCCTTTTATGTGTGCGGCATCATTATTGACCACATGACTCTTCAAGACTTATTTTCAAAAATGACTTATATCAACACGGAATTATGTCTGTTGCCATTGATACTCTTTGCCCATGATTTTCCCTTGTGGCTGACATTTCTTCAGTGAATATACATAGCAAGTACCTGTATACTGAGGAGAGTTTGGTGAACAAACAGGCAAGAATCTTTGTGTTCATGGAGTTTTCTTTTTCTCTGGAGAACAATATATAAAACTTTTAAAGATGAGTAGTAAAAAATAGTATGTTTGAGGCTGACAAATGCTATAGAGAAAAGTCAGCAAAAAACAAGGAAAGGGAATGCCAGGGAGTGGTGATACTCTGAATTATTTAATGTAGTTCCCAGGAAAGGACTCACTGAAAAGATGACATATGGTAAAGATCTGAAGGGGGGGTGGGTGAGGGAGTGAACATGTGGAGGTCTAGCGAGAGTTGTCCCAGATGGCGAGAACAGCAAGTGCAAAGGCCCTGAGGCAGAAATGTCCCTAGCAGGTTTGAGGGGCAGAGAAGTGACCTATGTGGCTGAAGTTGGATCTGTAAAGGGGGTAGCAGTGGGGGGCAAGGACTGGCAGGATGGGGAGAGTGCTTGGCAGATCCCATGGGGGCCTCTTAGGAGCTTTGTCTTCCACACACAGGAGTAAGGTGAGCAGCCAAGGAATGAGGACATCTGATTTACCTTCTAATCTGTCACCTTTGGTTGCAGAGTGGTAAACACATCTTTCCTCACGGACCCTGTGCATTTTCTTCTGTTTAATCTGAGTCCTTTGGTTTGGTATAGCAAGTGGTATGTTCTTGGATTCAAAGCAAAGCAAAGCAAAACAAAACAAACCCTGAATCTGAAAGTCTTTTCTCTTTTCCATAGGGAAACGTTTTAACATTTGTAGTCATAATTGCCATATTTCCATCATGGTGTTTCTGATTCTGAGGGGTTTTTTCCATCCTATTTCATTCTTTCCTTCTCCTCCTCCTCCTTCTTTTTAATTTTTTAATGTTTATTTATTTTTGAGAGGGGGGAGGGGCAGAGAGAGGGAAACAGAATCCGAAGCAGGCTCCTGGCTCTGAGCTGTCAGCACAGGGCCCGACCTTCTTCTTCTTCTTCTTCTAAACAGAAAACTATTATTTCATTGTTACCTTAAAATTACGTTTCTTTAAGCATTCTTTTGATGTTACTAATAATGTCATTTAGTCTTATTATTTTTCTTTTGAAAAAAAAAAAAAAAAACAAAACACCAAACGAAAGACTAAGGCTGTGCAGTCAGACTTCCTGGGTTACCATCTCTGCTCCATTGTTTCCTCACTGTGCACCCTAGGGCACCTTCCTTTGCCTCTCTGGCTCCTTTCTTCATTTTGGAGATAACAGTGGTAATTATGTCATAGGGGTGCTGTAATACTAAAATAGTTAATAGAAGTGAAGTGCCCAGTGTCTGCTGAGTAGTAAGCACTCAGTGTTAGTGATTATTAGTAATTGAATAATTATTAGAAAAATAGAAATAAGAAAACAAAATATTATCTAGAGTCCCACTGCCCAGGAATAATCACTATTGAATAAGAGGTTCTTTTCTGTGTGTGTGTATTGTGTACGTGTGCATGTGTGTGTGTGTCTGTGCTCACGTACGTGTGTATGAAGCAAAAATGAAATCTTACTGTACATAGTGTTTAGCAGCCCGTGTTTTTCACCTAACAATGCATAATAAACGCTTCTCCCTATAAATCAGTCATCTTGGGCAACATCATTTTCTTGTGGTCCATTCTATAGGTCCACCTCAACTTACAGAATCATTTTTTTTTTATTATAAGATGTGTAATGCTTACCTTAGTAATAATTCTACAGTAAACATTTTTGCAGCAAAACTTTTGTGCACAGCTTTCATTATTTCCTAAGGAATCTCTAATCCTGCAATTGATGGCTTTGAGAACATATGTATATATATAATTGAGAACATATTATTATGTATAAAGTATTATATGTATTATATGTATATAAAGCGTTTGCCAAACTGTTCTGCAATTTTTTTCAATTAACATTCTCACCAGTGCTGTGTGATTCTTTGCATTTCACCCACACTTGTCAACACCTGATATTGTAAATTTCAAAGATATAATGCAAAGATTTTACATATTTTGTTACTAATTATACATGTTTATATAATACTCATTATCATACATACTTTGTTACTAATTATGTTGAATAATTTCATTTGTGTATTGCCATTTGTTTGTATTTATAAATATCTATGCCCTGATTTGCCTCTCGTTTTCTTATTGAATTATAAGAACTTTTTATATAAGATGGATCATAATATGTCTTTCTTGTTATATATGTTGTGATATTCCCTCCTTTCATGTTGTATGTTAATTTTGGTGTTACACATTTTCTTTTTTTTTTATGTTTATTTATTTTTGAGAGAGGGAGAGAGAGAAAGAATTGCAAGCAGGCTCCACACTGTCAGCACAGGGCCTGACATGGGGCTCGATCTCACAAACTATGAGGTCATGACTTGAGCCAAAATCAAGAGTCGGATGCTCAACCGACTGTGCCAACCACGTGCCCCGCATTTTTCTATTAATATTTATATTAAGCTTTCAATTCAGCTCTAATCAATATATAAATATCAGGTTCAATTGCCAGAAAAATTTCTCAGGTTGGTCTTCTAATTCCCTAATTGTTATCTGAATTGTCCATCCTAATGTTCATGGTTTCCAGTGGATTTTTAAATTTAGTAATTATATTTTTCTTCTGAAAGTAGCCTTTTCTAATCTTCCATTGTTCCCTTTTCAAAGATGATTTAGTCTCTTGAATCTCATTGAACGTATGAACTAGATATTTTTTTGGAATTTTCTCTTTTTTGGCAATAGTTCTATTTCATGGGAGGTACTTATCTGATTTCTCATTGTTTCTCTTAGAATGAGTTTTTCATACATGCAGTTATTTTTCTGTATCCGCCCATCCTTGTAGACAGATGAGCATAGAGATGATGAGTTTCTCAGTTCTAATTTTTCAAATTCAGATGAAGGGAGAAAGGAGTCTTTTGAATTTGGGGGGAACATTTCTTTGTCAGAACGGGAATTTCGTTCCCTGTGGCTATTTTGGAGAGATCCACAGCTGGAGACAGCTACCCAATGGGCAGCCTTCCTGCCCTAGCGGGGGGGGAGGGGGGCATTTTCTCCAGCTGGTTTTGTGCAACTCAAAGTTGGAAAGGATCCCTGCTTTTCTTTTCTAACAGGTACAAGTGTTCTCATTCAGTGGCAGTAGTGACAGCAGCCTGGCTACAGAAAACAGCCAGGGTGCCTTGATAAGTCCCATGCTTCCTGAGCATGGACCGGAAGTGGTGACTTTCATCCAGTCCCTGTGGTCTGGCCCAGGGTTGTTAGTGGGGTTCTGTCAGAGGTCCCTTTGACTGGTCAGTCCCCCTTGATTGTAGTTTCAAAGGGGCTTAGACTGTACACGGTTTAGATAGCACAGGGTTGGGGCATCACTGATACTGAACTGTAGCCTGACCAGCTGTCCTTTGGCCAGTGCTCCTTCAAACTTTCAGATTACCACAGAGAGTCTCAGGGGGTGCTGCTGTACCCTTAACCTTCTTGAACTCTTGCTGCTGGCTGAACTCCCGTTTTAACAAGGAGGTCCAGGCTTTAGTCTCAGAGCCTTTGATAAGCAGCCCCATCAGCTAGGACTTGTGTAACTGTCATTTACATACATTTACTTTTCTATAGTTCCTTTACTTGTAACCTGTTGGCTTCCTTCTTAAAGTGTATTTATCATTTAAGAAAGAGACAATATAATGAAAAACATTAAGTTATTCATAATATCTAGACTAGGAGAATTCACAAAGGCCAATAATGTTTGCCAGCTGCTGCTCCATGTTCTCTTACTATGACTTTAGTTTGTGGGAATTCCTGGAAGTCTGCTGTGTGGATGGGACCCTTGATTGCTAGCCAAGATTCAGATGTTCTCTTATGTTTGCATTTCTTTTGGTCATTTCAGTGGAAATTGGGAAGAAGGTAATTGAATATTAAATATGGAGGCCTAAAGGCGCAAATAGGTGATTCTGCTTTGAATCACCTCTCCTCCTATGTTTAGAAGCTGCCGAGGCAGGTTTGTGAATGGAGGAAAAAATCATCATGAAAATTGTGAACTGGGGTTAGAAAATCTTCCTTTGGGGGCGCCTGGGTGGCTTAGTCGGTTAAGCGTCCGACTTTCGCTTAGGTCATGATCTCGCGGTTCGCGGGTTCGAGCCCCGCGTCGGGCTCTGTGCTGACTGCCAGCTCAGAGCCTGGAGCCTGTTTCAGTCTGTGACTCCCTCTCTCTCTGACCCTCCCCTGCTCACGCTGTCTCTCTCTCTCTCCTAGAAATAAATAAAAAACATTAAAAAAAAAAATTTAAAAGAAAATCTTCCTTTGGGAATGAGGAGCTCCAGGAGTTTTGTGGGATTTTTTGTTTATTTGTTAGTTTGTTTTTCCCCTCTAGTGACTCAAATATCTTTGGAAGGTTCCTTCTCCTTCCTCACTCTCCTGTTACCCTTTGAGTAGATGGAAGTACCTATGTGGTCAAAAACATACTGAAGCCATCCTGTTTATTAGGATGTCAATATCAGTAATGATGATGATGATTTCTTTTTATCTCTTGCTAAATGCCAAGCACTATGCTTATCATTTTACATGAGCCACCGTATCTCAGCTTCACAGTAATCCTATGAAAAAGATTTTTTTAAAAAGTAATCTCTGTGCTCAACATGGGGCTCAAACTCATGACCCTGAGATCAACAGTCACATGCTTTTCCAACTGAACCAATGAGGCGCCCCTGAAAAAGACTTTTGTTCTAACTTATTTATTTTTGGATGTTTATTTATTTATTTTGAGAGAGAGGAGAGAACTGGAGTGGGGGAGAGGCAGAGGGAGAGAGAGAAAATCCCAAGCAGGCTCCATGCTGTCAGCACAGAGCCCGATGTGAGGCTCAAACTCACAAACCGTGAAGTCATGACCTGAGCTGAAATAAAGTCGGATGCTTAACCGACTGAGCCACCCAGGTGCCCCTGTTCCAATTTATAGATGAGAAAAATCGGGGCTCAGAGGGCCTTGCTAGCTTATCCAGTGACCCAGATAGGCAAAGGCAGAGGTGAGATTTAGACCCAGGCAGACTATGACTAGGCATTGTGTACTTACCCACTGAGGGATGCCATTTCTCAAGAGTTTAATACAGGGCACTTTGGGAAGGCATCTGCAGAGAAAACGGCGTCATGGAGACAAGTCTGTAGTCATCCAAATGCTGCTGACTGAGTGCCAGGATGCTGGGAGAACGTGATAAGAATCCATCAACCATGGGAGATCTTCATAGCATTCTTTCAGAATAGGAAAGCACTTGGTGGAGAAAAAAACTAGGCAAAAACATACAATATTGAATGATAGAACTAAGTGTGTGTGTGTGGAGAAAGACAGAGCCAGCCAGAACTTTGCATCCTATCAACACAGTGTATCATTTTTTCTGGTATTTGTGGAATAGTTACAAAAATTCATAGCATGTCTGGCTACAAACACATGCACACACACATGCACACACACACCCCAAAAGAAAAAACCGTCAACACATTTTTTAAAGTAGAGCTGCCTATAGCCTTCCTTTTCTTATCCTAACAACAAAATAATATCAAGTACAGTCACGGAATTTCTCATGTCTCCTTGTTTCCCTTTAGGTTTAAGTTGCTGAGCCAGGAGGAAGGAGAGTACTTCAACGTGCCCGTGCCGCCAGAGGGAAGTGAAGGGAATGAAGAATTACGGCAGAAATTCGAGGTGAGACGTCTTTCTTTCTACATGAGTGGGAACTGGTTGAGCCTGCCTCTGTGCCATTTTCCACAGTTATGGTGTGGTTTCTACCAAGGCCCTTCATGACTCCGTGCCTCTGCAATGTTATTCTACCTCTCAGAAAACTCCTGTGCATCCTGCAAAACTCCAACCAAATGTACCCTGCTTTATGAAGCCATTCCTGCCTCCCTGTCCTCATTTAATTTTAGACTTTTCTTTAAAAGTGCTCATTTGCTCCTTGGGTCATGGTGATGATAGCTTGGACTGGGATGGTAGTAACGGTAAGTGAAAGAAGTGGACTGAGTGATATATTTTGGAGGCTGGGTCAACTAGGCTTACTGAGGGATAGAATGTGGGTTTGGAGCTATTGGCAGGATGGTGCTCTGTTGTTAACAAATGGAATTATTTGCGATGGTGACTTCATGAAATACTCATGGGTGTATCTTCTGAAGATGAAGAGCCCTTGGCCATGACCTTGGACTATAGTGCTGGCTCTGCTTTTCCCTTAGCTGAGCCCCTTCTCTTCTGTGGGGCCAATAAACCCCATTTGCAGCTACATGAGAGGAGCCGATGTGTAGGACACATCCCAGTTTTACAAAGAAAATGTTTTGGGGAAGATGGATTTGCGTTATTTCATTACATATGTATTGAATGATTTTAAAGTAGTTTCAGAAGGGAAAATACATTATTTTGTTCACACAAACTCAATATACTGAGTCTAATGGGAAATCAACAATTCTAGATAAACAGTGGTGGCCTGCTAAGTCAAAAGAAAAATGTATAAAATAGCTAAAATGAAATAGATCACTATCATTGTAGTAATCATACAGGCAAATTTAAAAAAAAAATCTGTGACCAGGTAAAGTTCTGTGAAAGAGAGGTCCATATTGCTGTGAGAACATATAAGAGGGAAATGTAACAGTCTCAGAGGACAGGGAAGGTATCATTGAGTCATCAACAGTTCAAGTTAACTGAGAGGCAACAGAGAATTCCATTCAGAGAGGACAGCATGTGCGAAGGCCCTGTGGTGGTGGTGGTGGGGTTATATGGCAACTATATGAAATTTAAAGAAGGTCAGTGTGGGTAGAGGAGAGAGAACAATGGGCGAGTTCAAGGTAAGACTAAGGAAGTAGCTGGTCATCGCAGTAGAAGGACTGCCGGCCGTGCCAAGGATTTTGGCATTTATCCCAAGATCCACATTAATTTCCCCCTCAACTGGACAGAAATACCACTTGAGTATTGACCCTTCTGCCCTCCACAAAACTATACTGTGGTGATGGGTCTGACCCAGGGAGAGGGAATATCCCTTCCTGGAAAATAGTGTGATAAACATTGGCCTTGGGCTTATCAGTCACTCTCCAGTGAACTTAGTAAGTGAAGGTCATTCCTATGCAGCCAGCTCAAATCCCTATGAGCTGGTAAAAGGGCTTCCCACGCAGTGGGGCCAACGACTGGACACTGTTGATTGGTCATTCCAGAGAACACCTTGTGTCTCTTTCCCTCAACTCTGATGAAGCTGTGCCCATTTGCTGCCGTGTCAAAAATGTACTGTTGAGGGGGGCGGGGGGAGACCATGATTTTCTTGTATAAAATGAAGTCTCAGTTTGCAAAATGATTTCTTCCATCCTAGGGCAGCCGGGGTGACATTTCAGGACATCAAAGAAAACAGTTCCTACGTGAGCATAGCATTTGTTGGGGCCAGTTATGGGCTTGCAATAAAGGGCTGTTTTATCTGCATGCAACAAAATGCACCCGTTTATTTCTAGCAAGAGCCTGCAAATGCTTGTTTATGCCTGAATTATAATTGCTCCGTACCATAGTTGTTGATTAAAAAAAAAATGCTTCCAACAGACCGAAAATTGTTCTCAGACACATAGAGAAATTTCAGTTGACCTTGAACTTAAGAAATGTAATCCCTATGCAATAAGCAATTAGCACCCAGAATGACTCAGAAATTACTTTCAAGCCTCTTATCTGGAAAAATTCTGAGTGATGGTAAAATCGAGCTGCTGGAATTGGGGTAATAGAATTTCATGGTAGGGTGAGCTCGGTGCAATTCCTGCATGGGGTGTATTTCAGAATGTCAGAGTTGACTCTGTCTGGGGGCCTTTTGTCTGACCATGGGCTTGCCTGGGGTCAGAGAAGGGAGAACTTCACTTTGGATGGTTCAGAATGGGTTTTCTGACAGTCTTAGGATTTTCTTACATAATAAAATGCTTACTGTGTGCCATTTATTATTTAAGTGCTGCAGAAATATTAACTTAGTTAATCTTCACAGTACCCCTGAATGGTAGATACTATGAGCATCCCCATTTTTCTTTTACAAACGAGAATGCTAAGGCCCAGACAGTTTAAGCAACTTCCTCACATCCCATCGCTGGTCATTATCTTGGGTTGAGTTTTCCCCAGAAGCAGACCATGAAAGACTCAAGCACAAGTAATTTCTTCAGGAAGCGATTCTGGGAAGCATCACTGACCAGAGGGGAGGATGTGCCTGGGAAGGCAGGGAGCCGGGAAAGTGTGTATCATGAAGCAGGTCAGCACTGTGGGCAGCTGGGGTTTAACCCCGCCGGAGAAGCCGCATGTGTGCCTCATGGGGTCCCACCTGGGGGGACATGAAACTGCAGTATTTTCCCCCAGCTCAACCTGTGCCTCTGGCTGGCGGCAGCTTTCAGGAGCGCTAATGGCCAGCATCTGCAGCTCGCCCTGCCTGTGGGCTCCACTCGCTCCTGCAACCAGGAAATGAGCCTGCAAGCAGAGCTGCAGATGTGAGCCGCGAGGAGCCCCGGGTGTAGACAGGAGAGTGCCGGGGCGGGGGACTTGGTGGGACACTGGGGCCTCGTGTGTGCGGTGGGAAGCCTGTTCCGTTCGAGTGGTTCAGGGGCCAGGCGTTTTGGATTTGAATCCGCCTCTGCCATGTTCTCACTAGGTGACTGTAGGCAAGTTACTTTACCTCTGAGCCTTTCATTCCCCATCTGTAAAATGGGAGAATCACAACACTTCTTGGCTTCCAGGGTTATGTGAGGATCGAAAGAGATAATGCATTTAGAACAGCGTCTGGCACGTCATCGCATACAAATGTCAGGCCATTGTTGTGATTGTCAGCCTCCCCCTTGGAATAAATACAGCTCAGAACATGTCCCTTCTGGGCTGTGGAAGGGCGGCTTGGGGATGCCAGGCCTCCTGAGGCCTCGCCTCTGCTGCTGGGTCCTAGGGTGCCCCTCTGGAGCTCCGTAGAGGGGTGGGGGTTACAGAGGAGTCTGGAGGCTAAGCCAGGGCAGGCACTAATCATCTGAATTGGAGCCCTGGGTGCCGGCTGTGGAAGCGCCTCTGCTGCCCTCCAGCACATTCTGGAAAGAGGCAGGGCTCCTTGCGGTCAGTTTGCTTTCTCTTTGAGTGCTGGATTCTAGGGCTCTAAACCGCAGACATGAAAAGACAACTCTTAGTGTGCTTCTGTCTCTGAAGACCTATCCAACCCAGAAAGATAGAGGATAATTTTAATTTGGGCCTCAATTTAAAAAGGTTTGCTCTTTGACAGAGTACCTGCTAGGCCTGTGGCTCCTGGGGACCATAGGACTTTCAGAGGGGACACAGGATGGGCTTCTTGTCCTCCACAGGCTCATTGTGTAGGGGGTCACAAACCCAAATGCTTTCAGGAGCCAGGCAGGAAACAAGGAAGGGAAAAAACCTTGGTGTCAGACAATAGGGTGTGGTGGGGACTGTGGAAAACTGGGGAGCCCATGTCCCATCTAACATCTGATTTTCATAAGTTTTTTATGTTTATTTATTATTGGGACAGAGAGAAACAGAGCATGAGTGGCGGAGAGGTATCACCCAAACAGGCTCCAGGCTCTGAGCTGTCAGCACAGAGCCTGACATGGGGCTTGAACCCACAAACCGTGAAATCATGACCTGAGCCGAAGTCGGATGCTTAACTGACTGAGCCACCCAGATACCCCTAACATCTGATTTTCAACCTTTGTCAACCAATTTAATTATTAAAACAGCAACAGCACTGTGTAGACCAGGCCAATGGGACTGTGAGACTTCTGATCCTGAGTTTAGAATCTGGCTTAGTCTGTTTAGGCTGCTGTAACAACAACAGAAAACCCATAGGCTTAAATAACAGAGACTATTGCTCACAGTTCTGGAGGCTGGGAAGTTCAGGATCAAAGCTCCAGCCTGGCCGTGTTCTGGCGAGGGGCCCCCCTTCCTGGGTCCTACATGGCTCTCTTCTCACTGTGTCCTCACCTCGCGGAAAGGCCCAGGGAGCTCTTGGGGGCCTCTTTTATGAAGGAGGGCACTGTGCCCACCCATCAGGGCTCCATCCTCATGACTTAATACCTTCCCCCAAACCCCACCTCCTAATGCCATTGCCTTTGTGGGTTAGGATTTTAACATGTGAGTTTTGGGGGGGAGGACACACACCTTATAGCCTACATGGGGGGTGTGACAGAAACACTGTAGCTTCTGTGGGGAACATAGACATTATAGGTCTGTAGCCTGTACCTAGGGGAAAAGTCACAGAAGCAAATTGAGATGGGTGGGAAGAGGGTTTGCATCCCAAAATTCAGAGGAGGGAAGTTTGCTGCTCCTTCAAGGACAGAGAAAGATTTCCCACTAAGCAAAGTCAAATGGAGAAACTGGGAAGTTTGATCCTCTCACTCATGTTTCACCGGCAGGCCGTGCTGAGACCTGAGTGTCCCCCTAAGGGCCCGAGTGGGGGCTGGGGACCAGGGACGGTCAGGATTTGGATCCTCACAGGTTGGAGAATGCAGTGTGTGGACTGAGTGGGTCCTGACTCAGGACTGAAAGAAGATGGGAAGCAGAGAAGAGGGTGGGGTCAGGGAGGAAAGAGGGACCTGCTCGGGGCAGGACAGTCTGGGCAAAACTCTGGGGCTGAAGGGTCAGGATTTGGGACAATGGAAAGCTAGTGGCCCAGAAAAGGCAATGCCACTTTGGTCCTAGCGCTCTGCTTCTCTACCCGATGAGCCCATGTTTTAACCACTTGCTCTATGCTTGCAATCTCCACACCTCTGTCTCCAGCTCAGATGCCAGTTCTCAATCTCAGACCCACATGTGCCACCGCTTCCTGGGTGCTCATGCCTCGCTGCCCCAGAGTCGCTGGGATCCCCACGTATCTTACGAGTCTTACTACAAAATAACTTGACCTTGTGTGTTTGCAGCAGCTCTGTTAACGACCCCCCAAATGGAAACGACACAAATGCACCTAGAGAAGGGAATGGATAAACGTAAACACTGAACGCTATTCAGCAAATACAAAGGGACAAACTGCCGATTCCGGCAACAGCGCGGGCGAATTTCGAGAACACGATGATGAGCCAGAGCGGCCAGATGCAAAGACTACTTATTCCATAAAGAGAAGCCTGTTAGACTTTCACAGATCTTCACCAAATGTGAGGATTTTCCACACCAAGAAATTCTCCAGTCCTCTGCGGACACCAGCTGGGCATCCCACAATGTGATTTATAAATGACACTTGGAGTTAGTGTAGACCCCACAGATTAAGACCTCGGTCCCACAAGGCTGTCCCCTACTTTAGACTCTAGTCACAAATCGTGGGTTCTCAGCTCACCCACACTTCTGTCTGACTTGCTACCAACCAGGGGTTCCCTCCACCCCCTCCTCAGATTCGATGCTGCTACAATGGCTCACAGAACTCAGGGAAACACTTACTTACCTTTGCTCATTTATTATACATTAAGGGATATGATAAAGGATACAGATGAACAGCCAGACGAAGAGATACCTAGGGTAAGTTCTGAAAGGAGCCCAGGAGATTCTGTCCCCCATGGGTTGAGATTCACCACCCTGGAAGCTCTCTAAACTCCATAGTTTAGGGATATTTATGGAGGCTTCATCATGGAGGCATGGTTGATTATTAATGAACTCAGTCTCCAACCTATCCGGGATGGGGCTGAAAGTTCCAAGCTTCAGAAGAATCATCCTTTGGTCTTTCTGGTGACCATGCCCCATCCAGGAGCCCACCAAGAGTTGCCTCATTAGAATAAAAGATGCTCCTATCAGGAACTTATGGGAACTTTAGGAGCTCCGTGTCAGAAACCAGGGGCAGAGACGAAATACATTACGTTACACTCTATGATTATGTCACACTCTATGATTCCATTTAGATGAAGTTCAAGAGCAAACGAAACTGACCTATGAGAATAGAAATCAGAACAGAGGTTGTGTTCGTGGGAGGGAGGATTGAGCGGGAAAGGGCACCGAGAACTTTCTGGGGGTGATAGAAATTGTTCCCTCTCTTGATTGGGGTCTGGCTTCATGGGTGTATCCATTTTTCCAAATTCCTAGAACTGGACACTTGAGATTTATGCATTTCAGTGTATTCACTGTAATTTTTAAAACATTAATTTACAGGGGCGCCTGAGTGCCTCAATTGGTTGAGCGTCCGACTTTGGCTCAGGTCATGATCTCGCGGCTCATGAGCTTGAGCCCTGCGTTGGGCTCTGTGCTGACAGCTCAGAGCCTGGAGCCTGCTTCAGATTCCGTGTCTCCCTCTCACTCTGCCTCACCCCTGCTCACACTCTGTCCTGAGGAAGAAGGAAACCTCACAGTTTAAACCCCTGTGAGGAAGGAGGAGTCTCAGTGTGTCTGAAGTCAGGCTCTTCCCACCTTCTGGCCCACATCTCCGAACTTGCCCTTTCTCCACTTCTCCCAGTGTCCTGTCCTGGTAGGTGCTTAACACAGAAGCCAAGGACTTCACCCCCGAGCGCCTCTCCCAGTCTGTGCCCAGCTCCAATAATTCTACCTCCAGACCGACCTGCTTTGTTCCATCTGCGCCAGAGACACCCACCCCTTCCCGTGGTTCCCAAGCTCACCTCCTTCAAATGGATTTCCTTGCTGGACCCAGGTGACTTTCTAAATGGAATATAATTATACCAAGACCTCCCTAAAGCCTTTTATGCTCAGAATTAGCATTGACTTCCTTCTTTTAAAAATACTTATTTACTTTTGAAAGAGTGAGAGATACCAGGAGAGGGGCAGAAAGAGAGGGGGACAGAGGAGCTCAAACTCACGAACTGTGAGATCATGACCCGAGCCAGAGTCGGATGCTTAACTACCCAGGTGCCCCAGCTTTGACTTGTTGACAGGGTTAAGTCCTGTCCATCCCATGCCACATCGGCCTTGCGCTAGGTGCTCCGGCCAGACTAAACAGTGTTTGGCTCTTTGAGTATGTCTTACTCTCTGCTCCATAAATGCTGTTTCTATTGCTGACATCAAGCCATTTATCTGGATAACTCCAGAATATCCTCTAGACACAGGGTGGAGGACCCAGTTCCTGCCACAGTGTAAATTCTTTGAGCCTCCGTATTTGGTTTTCTCCCTGATTGATCCTCAGCATCTAGAGGCAGATAGCAGGCACTTGGTGGGAATGCCTGAATGAATGAATCTTTCCCGATGTCCAAAACCCTGAAAAAATTTTTGCTGCCTCTTTGTCTCTAAAAGACAGCTGAATAATGGGACAAAAATAATAGCTGAGTGGCTTGGTCAGTTAAGTGTCTGTTAAGTGTCTGACTTCCTGACTTTGGCTCACAGTTCATGAGTTCAAGTCCCAAGCTTGGGAGTTTCTCTCTCTCCGTCTTTCACTGTCCCTCATCCACTCGTGCTTTCTCTCTCAAAATAAATAAACTTAAAAAAAAAATAGCTGCCCTTTGTTGAGCACCTACTATGTGCTAGGAATGGTGCAAAGAACGCCAAGATACATTCTCTCATGTCACATTCTCCATGTGCTCGAAAAGGGGACTGAGGTTTAGAAAGTTCATTCACCAAATACAACTAAGTGCCTACTCTGTGCCAGGCATTGCTCTGGGCACCAGGGTAAGGGGAACAAGACAGACAAAATCCTTGACCTCTTGGAGTTCTGTTCTCTAGAGGAGACATTAAGAAATGAGTAAATATCGGGTTTGTAGGATGGTGATAAGGAACATGGAGAGAAATAAGGAAGGAAGGACAATGGCTATGGCTGAGAGCTTCTGTGTGTCGTTGTTGGGCAAGGCTGTCTTATCTGAAGTGAGTAAGCTCTGGGAAGAGAACTCCAGGCACAGGGGACAGCAGGTGCAAAGGCCCAGGGGCTAGGGCATGTTTGGTGCTATCAGAGAACAGTCATGAGGCCAAGGTGATGCAAGGAGAAGAGACCAAAATCAGAGAAGGTACAGAGGGGCCAGGTCATCTGTGGCCTTGGCCTCTTCTCTGAGAGATGCTCAAGTAAAGGGATGTCTGGGCAGAAGAGCGTCCCAAGCTGACTGACGTCCTCAGGGTCACATAGCTCATCCACTCCAGGGCTGGGACTCTAGCCCTGGAGACAAATCCAATAACAAAGTCCTGGCGGCTGCAGCTCTCACTGCTGACCTCCTGTTCCCTCCCCACTGCAAAGCATTCACTGCCATTCCAAGTCACCGTTCTGCTGCTCACAGAAGCAAGACCTTCCCCCACTGCATTGAGGGCCAACACGGGCCTTCCCCATCCACTCATCTGTGTAGCAGGAAACTTTATTAGTTGTCAGGGAAGTTACAGAGATAGATTCTGTGCCTTCACAGAGTTTCCAGCACATTGAGGAAAACAGTGAGCAGTTACTGTCAGTATAAATGGGAAGTCAAGTGGATGAAGGAAGCAAATAGGGACACTTAATCCAGGTAGACAGTCAAGGAAGGCTTCCTTGGTGAAGTGAAAATGTGAAGCAAGGGTAACTCGGTTGGCAAAGAGGAGATGATCTTAGCAACAGCAGGTGCAAAGGCCCTGAGGTGGGTGATGAAAGAATGAGGATGGGTTGCAGGGCAGGATCCAAGAAATGATGACGTTGGAGAACCTGATCATAGCAGGCCATGGAGGCCAGGAAAAACACCGAGGTCTTTATCCTCAAACTAATGGGTCACAACTTTGAAGCAGGTGGTGACTTAGTTGGGTACGAAGAGAGGCTCACTTGGGTTGCGTGAAAAGCCCAGTGAGAAGGGAACCGTGGTAGGTTGTCCAGGTGTGACACGGTAAAAGGTGGTGGTGGTAACGATGGAAGGAAGATGAATTCTGGAGACAGCTAGAAGGAAGAAAGGACAGTTCCTGGTGGCAGCTGAGACGTGATGGATAAAAGAGAAACGTGGATGTTGGGGGTGGCTTCCAGACTTCGGGCTTGCAGAGCGGATGCAGGTCAGGGAGGGGGCGAGCTAAGGAACCACAGCTCACAGCGTGTCCCTGTGTCTTCCTGCAAGGGCATCCTCACACCCTAATGATGTGTTCTGTGTGCTTTCTCCACCAGAGGGCCAAGATCGGTCAGGGGACCAAGGCTCCAGAAGAAAAGACGACCAACACCATATCCAAACTTGACAACAATGGGAACAGAGACCGAATGAAACTAACCGACTTTAACTTCCTGATGGTGCTTGGGAAAGGAAGCTTTGGCAAGGTACAGTATGGGGGGCTGCACCCACTCCAGAAGGGCAGGTGATAAGGCAGGCACGTTTCTTGTTCCTATGGGGCTTACCTTCCAGCCAGGGAGAGAGTAGAAAGCAGATCCCCACTACAGTTCGTAATGAAAACCGTGAAGAAAATGAATAGCCAGGAACACACCCAGAGGGGACCCATTTAGACCATCAGAGGAGGTGAGCCCTGATGGGTGAGAATGAATTAGCTGTACATTCCAAGGGCTAAGAATGAATGTTATCAGCTACGAGAATAGCAAGTGCAAAGGTCCTGAGGTGGAGAAGGGCTTGGCACACTCTAGGTACCATCAGAAGGTGTCGGGGTCAAAATGTCATGAGCAGGGTGAGGTATAAGGATGTGAAGTTGCAGAGATGGGCAGGGGCCCGATCCTACAAAGCTTTGTGAGCTGTGATGAAGAGTTTGGATTTTATTCATAGTGCACTGGGGAGCCATTGAAAGGTTTTAAGCAGAGAAGTGACACGATCCAATGTGCCTTTTGGAAAAGATCACTTTTGCAGCCAAGAATAGGAACCACTCCTTTCAAAAAGCAGCAAAGTTGAAGGATGACCCTGGGACTCATAGAGTGGTTCTGGATGCTTTTATAGATACTGGGAGACACTGTTTTACTGAAATTGAGATTGTGTTATAAGTATTCCTGAGTTGTTTAGTGTTGTTTTGAGTCTTTTAATCCCTCTGTGTGCCACAAATATGTCTTGTATAAATCTCATACCATGAACTTACGTGTGCAAAAATATAAATCTCTTCTCCATCTCTGCAGCCTAAGCCCCAAATCTGGGAGTTTTCCTTGAGTTGTACCTACCTGCCCCCCACCCTGGCCGTGCGAAATCCATTCACGAATCCTGACACATCTTTTTCAAAGTGTGTCATGCATTTACTGACTTCTCTCCATCTTCACAAACGCAATATTAGTTTGACCCTCATACACCCACTGGGCCGCCGTTGAAGCTCCTCACTAGTTTCCCTACAGCCACTCCTGTTACCGGTCATCAGTGCACTTGCCATCCAGCACCTGTACTCGTTCTGGAAAAGTTACATTAAGTCAAGATGCTCCCCTGATTAAAACTCCAATGATGGGGCGCCTGGGTGGCTCAGTTGGTTAAGCATCTGACTCTTTGGCTCAGGTCATTGATCTCACGGTTTGTGGGGTCAAGCCCCACATCAGGCTCTGCGCTGACAGCGTGGAGCCTGCTTGGGATTCTCTCCTTTCTCTGTGCCTCTCTCTCTTTCTTTCTCAAAATAAATAAATAAACTTAAAAAATAATAAACAAAAAAAACCTCTTCAATGATTTCCCATCACACCGAAATAAATTTCATACTGTGTCCTTGGCCTACATTTCTCTTTAGAATCTGATCCCAGTTCTGTACCTGACAACTTCTTTTTCTTGCCCCTCTCTCACCTGGTGCTCTGGCAGCAGTGGTCCTTGGGTTTTTGAAACACAGAGAGCTCCTTCCTCTCTTAGAGCTTTTTTTTTTTTTCCACAATTGTTAAACTTTTAAAAAATGTATTTATTTTTGAAGAGAGTGAGTGGGGGAGGGGCAGAGAGTGAGAGGAAGACAGAGGATCTCAAGTGGGCCTCTCCTCTGACATCGTGGAGCCAGATGTAGGGCTCGAACCCATGAACCATGAGATCATGGCCTGAGCTGAAGTTGGACTGAACCACCCAGGTGCCCCTCTCTCTTAGAGCTTTTGTAATGCTATCCCTTTATTCTTGGCACAGCTGGCTCCTTATAATTCCCATTTCAACCTAGACATCACCTCTTCTGAGAAGCCTTCCCTAACCACTTCCTCAGCCACTCATTCATTCCCCATTATATTCCACTCTCTCATAGCAGCCATAACCAGACAGTATGCTTCTTGTTGGTTAGTTGGCTCATCTCTCTGCTCCTGCTAAGAGCTGAGCACCCTCTCTGAGGGGCCCTCTCTGTCCTGTTCACCACTGTACATTCAGTGCCTGTGGATTGAATGCATGTGTTTCCTCTGTCTCGGGGTCACTGGGTGATCTACTGAGGTGGAATAAGCGACCTGAGCTGATGGCTCAGAGCTTGCAGAGCTTGGGCATGAAACGGGAGCGGCAGTAGGGAGGTGCCGGAAGACTGCTGAGCAGCTCTGTGAAGCTGGTGATGGGAGTGGTCCACGCCTCCATGTGATTTTCTCTGATGCTTCTGAGTAGCTTGGGTGTGGACATGGGGAAGTTGGTGGCAGGTTTGAGCTGAGGGGGAAATTAACAGGACCAGTGAGTCAGAAGGTTACAGTAATAAGGGAGCCAAGGTTTCTGGGAAGAAAGAAGCCCCCTGCAGATCCAACAGAGCCTGCTTTTCATAGGTGCTCTGTAAACGTGCATGGAATAAATGAAAACAAATGGCATCTGGATCAGGTTGGAAAGGAAGTCAGAACAGGAAGAGGGTCACAACCTGGGTGGGAAAGGAGTCTGGAAGCCTAGGAATAAAAGGCGAATGGGTGAGGTCAAGAGATTTAAATGGTTGAGAGCAGGGGCATTTAGATTCCAAAGATGGGGTGGTTGCCATGATGGCAAGGAAGGAGGTGGCCTAAATGAAGGGGTTCCAGGGATATGAGCCTGTCTGGAAGTTTTTAAAAGTGAAATTCTATTTTTAATAAGCAGGGTATTCACATGGTTCATAATTAAAATTATATTGAAAGGATAAACATTGAGAAGTCTGCTCCTACCCCAGCTCACACCTTCCTGTACCCCCTCACTGCCACTGCCCTCCACATTTTATTCATTGAGTTTGCATATTTCTGGTTCCTACATGCTAATTTAGCAAATATAAATATGTGTCTTTATTCTTGTTCTTGTTACCACAAAGGTAGCCTACTCTACACATAGTTCTACCCCTTCGTGGTCACTTAACTACATAGGCTGGAGAGTTTGGAAGTATCAGAGGACTTTTTGGAAGTATCAGAAGTATCAGAGGACTTTTTGGAAGCGGTTAGGGTTGGGGTGTGGCTGGAGAAGTGGGAGAGTGGGTCTTTGGGGAACAGTGAGGGAATGAGAGAGAATAGATTATATGTTTCCATGGAAACTGTAACAATAATTGAGAGTTCTGCTCCAGGCTGGGGATGTGACATCAAACAAATCACAGATGAAAACAAAGTATGTCATGAAAGCCAAGACAGAATAACAAAAACCTCAGTGATCTGCTGAAACACAGAGTAATCTTTTGCACTTCCAGTTTTACCCACCATTGTTTTAAATTAATGTGATTTTTATATTTGAATGCCTACTTAAAAAAATAATGTTTTATTTATTTGTTGGGAGGGTGGACAGAGAGAGGGGGAGAGAGAGAATCCCAAGCAGGCTCCATACTGTCAACGTAGAACCTGACATGGGGCTTGATCCCACAACCCTGGGATCATGACCTGAGCCGAGATCAAGAGTTGGATGCCTAAAGGACGGAGCTACCCAGGTGTCCCTGAATGCCTACTTTTAACATTTGCAATCTTGTCGGGTGTATACGTCAACCCCTTAAAAATTTTTTTAAAATGTTTATTTATTTTTGAGAGAGAGAGAGAAAGAGCATGAGTTGGGGAGGGGCAGAGAGAAAGGGGGATACAGAATCGGAAGCAGGCTCCAGGCTTTGAGCTGTCAGCACAGAGCCTTATGTGGGGCTTGAACTCACAGCCCAATGTGTGGTTTGAACTCATGACCTGAGCCGAAGTTGGATGCTTAACCAACTGAGCCACCTAGACACCCCATAGGTCAACCTGCTTAAAGAGGTTGACACGGAATGATCATTGGTCTCTCTCTTCTGAAGATGGAAGGCATCGGTCTTGGTGGTGATGCCTTCACACCTCTCCTCCCCCAGGTCTCCTGTATCAGATCTGGTCCAGAAAAATGTGCTTTTAAGCACTGTCATAAATTGTGGGGTGACCAGCAAGTGACACATGCCTTTTGCTAATACCAGTGAAAATAAAACAAGTGACAAAGCAAGTGGGAAGGCCACCAAGTTCCAAACGAGTAAGCCCTGTTTCAAAAACTAAAAAAAAAAAAAAGAGCAATCTGGAGTTTACTTTCCTGAACAGGTGGAAGTGTTTACCTGGAAGGGTTATCTTGCTAAGCTGTGTTTCTTGGTACTTCTGGCTTACTTAGAGATAGATGCCTTCTAGAACTTTTGTAACAGAGAATTTCAAATCTATTACTCATTTACTATTTAGTGTTTATTTTTCTAATTTTATCCTTCATGCTCTATTTTATTCATTCATGCATTCATTCATGCATTCATTCATTCATTCTTATTGAGGTATAATCACCATACACCATTATTTTAGTTCCAGGTAAACAACCCAATGATTCAATATTTGTATATATTGTGAAATGACCACCATACTGAAGTCTAGCTAGCATCTGTCCCCATCCATAGTTATAATTTTTTTTCCTTATGATGAGTTTGACTCTCTGTTTTCCATGATTCCTTTCATCTGTGACTTCTGCTTTACCAACCACTACACTTTTTAAGAATTTAACCTCTGTGGTTGTCAAGGGATTACCAGAGATAGAATTATGCTCCAGCTATATAAATTGGGCAGCTGCACACTGCCCAGATCGATTGCATGAGTGGGCCTTAGAAGATAAAGATAACAGGTCCCTGTACAGCTCTCTACATTATAAACTTGATTCTTCTCACCCTCCAGTGCAGCCACAACAAACATTTAACTGAGGCTAGTATCGCCTGCCCTCTAAGACTTTGATGTGCTCATGGTAATGATTTGTAGGATATAAGCCTTTTTAAAAAGTTAGGCTGAGACATTTGAATGGAGACTCTCTTGCTCTTTTATACTCCTGACTTTTGCCTATGGACCCCTGTGCTAATTGGGGTGGGGAGCAAGGGGAGGCAGATATACGCTGTGGTGGATGTAGATCTGTCATAAAGAAGTTAAACCCAACAATACAAAAGTCTGTAAAATCATGGGAAATCATGGGAAATGACTGGTAACAGAGAAAA